TTATGCAGATGACTTTAATAAGAAATTCGATCTTGATAAATATATATATTTTTTCTTCAGAAAACCCATTTCAAATTCTGCAAGTATATATAAAAAACGAAACCAAAATAGGTACATTAGAAAAAATAAGCCACATACTCTTTGATAAAGGAGATTACATTGATTACATAAAAATAATCACTGATATCAGACCTAATGTTCTCCACAGGGAATTTTATTCCAATTGTATTGCTTTGAACGAATGTCAAATAACTGACATGTCCTTTGCACAGACAAAGAAAATACACGGCCTGAAGAGCACTATCAAATATCTATTGGATCTCGATGTCCGAACAGTGAGTTAGTCCCTTATGTTATATGATCACAAAGGCTAAATTACTAATTGAAACAGGGCTAAATCATGAAAGCGAGATAGCCTTTTCCTTTAAAAACTCTATTAATGGTAATCATTCATACATGCGTAGAAAAGTTCACCAAACTCTATAAATATATCATGACCATCTTTGACTTCAAACTCGTCTAAGGAGTCCATCCAGCACCATGACAAGGGAATGAATGGACTATCATGTGTCGTGACTGACTACTGAATTGTCGGTTAACTGCAGGCGAGGTGTCGTGTTTGCTTCATGTATGTTTATCGTAAATGTTCCATTTAACACAACTAGAATATTAGTCATGTTGAAGTTTTGCTATATAAACGTTGTAGCTTTAATAATATATATATATATATATATATATATATATATATGTGTGTGTGTGTGTGTGTGTGTGTGTGTGTGTGTGTGTGTGTGTGTGTGTGTGTGTGTGTGAGTACACATATGTATATATATGTGTACACACACACACACACACTACACTCACAATATATATATATATATATATATAATATATATATATATATATATATATATATATATATATATACTTATACTAGCTGTATGCCGTTTTCTTGTAACGTTATTATCCGTATCTCATTATGACCCATATTTGAATCTAACCAACGAAGCACAAACACACGTGACCAATAATTCTAGGCTTCTGCTTCGGCCCAAGCATTCGAACCCGCTTCGCCTCGGCGGACACTCACATCAGGCCAGCGAACAAAATCAAGTCTCGAAAAAGAAATTCGCCACGAACTCAACGCAGCTAAATTCTGCTGGAGTGACTGTAGGTTTTGCGATCATTTATATGAATATATATATATATATATATATATATATATATATATATATATATATTATATTATATTCCGTGTTGGATCTCTCACACGCACGCACACGCACACGCGCACACACACACACACACACATATTATATATATATTATATATTATATATATATTCATTTATTTATTTATTTGTGTGTTTCTGACTGATTAAATGACATAATTGAATAATGATATCAATCGCACTGCCGCAAGAAAACTAAATCACGATGTACAATTTAACAAACCAATTGAATTGGCCTTAGCATGAAATCATAGTCCGTCTAATTTCAGCAAAAAATCACCCGGGCTGTGGCTTCCTCGGTTTTGAGAAAAAATAAATGATGTGGTACTAAAAGCAGCACATTTCAATAAAACGTAAAAATCTAAACATATATGGTTACTGCTGTAGAAGTGGTTGAAATAATTGCAATAGTTACTGCAGTATAGTAGTAGCTACTGCAGTCGTAGAAGTTGTAGTTATTGTAACTTTTGTGTGAGGGAGTCGGTTTACAAAAGGAAATTACTATTGATCGGTGTTACGTAAACTATTTACCTAATGAAAAGCAACGCAGGCAACTAGTAGTCAGCAGAAAAAAATACATTCTCATACAATAAACTTAAATACAGTCATGCTTAGATCCTGATCGAATAACGTCTGTGAAAGCCAGATGTAATTACAAGTCACTGCTAATCAGCAAATGTGTAGCATAAAAGAAAGGAAAATCCGATAATTATGCAGTATTTTCACAGTCCATCGTAGGATTCCGCTCCGCTCACACGAGGTCGCTTCATTATGCGCAACAGGCAGTACACGAGAAACAAGGTAATTTGTATTCCCTTTAATTGTACTTCGACTTCACTAACACGTACGCCTGATGGATGGGATTACGGG